CCGGCCCCAGCCACCCGCGACCGCCCGCCACCCCCGCGGTCGCGGCAGCCCAGCGCCGGAGGAGCAGGAGGGCACCACGAACTCCCCCGGCCCAAGGCAGCGCCGCCGCCTCAGGGCACGGGACCGCCGTTCCGCAGAGACGCGCTCCCCTCCGGCTGCGCCGCCGGCCCGCCCTGCCATCCCCTCCCGCCCGCGGGCTCCCCCTACCTGTCCGAGCAGCCGCCAGCGGGCTCTGGCCGCTCCCGCACCCCTCGCCTCGCACCTGCCCGCGGCGGGGCGGCGCGGAGAGCCGGCAGCCTCGGCCATGCGGCGGCGAAGAGCACGCAGGACCCCAGCTGTGCGGGCGGGGAGCGGTGCCCTGGCCGGCGGGGACTTGCCGCTGAGCCTCCAGCGGCGGCCGGGACCGGCCGGGCTAGGGTTTGAGGGGGAGGAAGTGGGTGGCCATCTTTGTTAAGGGCAGCGCTGAGGCTACGGGCGGCCGCCGCGCTGCGCCCCGCTCTTCAGGCGCACGGGAGGGTGCTTCAGGACGGGCCGCCCGTGGTCTCCGCGCCCGGGGGCGAAACGGTGCGTGGAACGGAAGCGACTTGAGGAAGCCGCGGCAGGGACCGTGCCAGCCCGCCCGGTGTGCGGCCGCCCCCCTGCCCGCCGCGGCTCCGCGCTGACATCAGCGGTGCTCGCCCGCTATGGCTGCTGGCTGAAGCTCCGTGCCGCCATCTTGGCTACGGGCAATCCCGGGAGGGAGCCGGCAGCCGCTCCTGCTCGCCTGCCATCTTCTGTCCCGGGCGGCCCCGCCGGAGGGAGAGCGGTCTGGCCCCGCCGGCGACGGCGAGTCCTTGTGCGGGCCGCGGGCGCTGCCACGGCCTCGGCGCGGCGGTGAGAGGCAGGGCCGGCGGGGAGCGGGGCCGGGGCCGGGCCGGTTTCTCTGGCCCTCGGCCGGGCGGGACGGGGAAGCGGGACAGCAGCGGCGAAACACGCGGGGTCTGTCTCCCCCGCAACGCCGAGGTGCAAAGGTGTCACTTTTCCTGGCAGGGAGGCTCAGCTCCTGTTGCCGTGTTACCTTCTTGAGAGAAAGTGATTTTATTGCTATGTGATACTAGTGAAGGGGGGGGGGAAACTTCCCAAAGCCCTTCTCAGTTTTTGGTTCTTCAACATTTAAACAGGCACAGTTGCACCTTCCTTTCTCTTCATTGGTAGTGCCACTGGAGTTAAACTTCCAAGCGCCAGGAACCACGTTTTGGGGTAACACAGCAGGTTAATACACAAGCTAAGTTGTGTCTAATAGTTGTTAAGAAACAGCTTAAGTTTTACTGTTTCCTATCATCTGATTTGCCTAATGAATCGGTCTCATTTCTTTGAAAGAGACAAAGTTTCGGTTTATGTTATGTATATTTTATATACACAGTGGACATGATCAGCAGGCTGGGATTTTCAGAAATTTCAGCTTGACTATCAAGAAATGAAGGTTGGGGTGTCACGTGTTGGACTGCAAAATCTTCTCCAAGGGCTGAGCTTCAGCATCAAATACTACTCTAAGCATAACCATCTCCAAACAGCGTGTCTTTATAGCAAAATAAAACCCCCAAAATGCCACATCCTGGACTGTTCAGGAAGTACATGCACTCACCAGCCTCTGCCACCTGGAAGCGTCCTGCCCTGGAGATTCTTTTCCTGCAAGGTATGCTCTTAAAGTATAGACTTAATGTCAACGACCACTTTGGCACATCTGTTAAGAATGTGTCATATTTTTCAGATGTTGCAGAAACACATTTTTCCTGAAGAGTTTGGAGCAGAGGGATAAACACTAGGATTTTAGTTATGTTCAAAGACCTATACCATTTTTCAACTTTCCTGTACTGTTTTGATGTAAAGCTGCATTTTGGTTGATTTTCCTGCTGTAGCAATTTTAAAAAAAATTGGTATCTTGTGGGAAGATTCAGGTAAAGTGTCAGGAGAAAACTGCAGGGAGAGATCAGCTAGTACAGAGGCAAAGTGTCCAGACTGACAACGCCAGACTTAACCACTGTCAGCTGCTCAAGAAAACTTGTCTTTTTCTGTGCTGACCAGTAAGTCATGGTTTTGCACCATATTAAATAGTAAAATATTCTGTTGACTTCTCATAATTGTATTCACATGCGATAAACTGAAAGGTACTTGGATTTATCTCTGTTAGTAAATATTGTGTAAATGGGTTGCAGTGTATCATGCACAGAGACAGAAAGTGGTCTGAAATAATTACAAGTCTTCTCTTCCTATGTTTCTAATATAAAGTTCGCTAAAGGTATTATAAAAGCTGACTGCTGTATGATGGTCTGTAAACTGATTTATATGCATAATGTATAAGTACTGTTCAAAAAGATTGGTCTTCCGGTTTCTTTCATATTAAAAATGTTTTCAGATGCATGGTTGTTCTAAAATTGTTTCAAGTTGACAGTTTCTTCAAAGGTGACCGAAAGATCCTCTTGTTGTAACCCTCTTGTTTCTAACCATAACATAAACAGTTAACATAAACAGTTACTAAGTCTGTGTCTGAAACCTAAACAAATATTTTAAAGAGAACATACAAAGTCTTGATGGATGAGACACTGTGGTTCTGTTTATTCATTGGCACTTTAGTAACACAGTTGCAAATGCTGATCTACAACACGCATTCCAGGACACAAACAGGTGGTTTTCACTTGAAAGGGAGCTGTGCATGTTTGCTTTGGAGCAAACATTTGCAAACCGATTGTCACCGAGATCCTCTGCTATCCTCAAAATATTTCTCTATGCTCTTCTAAATGACTGTTTTCTCCCCAGGTAGGGAGGTGTACAGTAACTCTAATATATACCTTGCACAGTGGCCACCAGCTCCATACAATATTTCCAAATAAATACAATTGCAACCATGGAAAACAAAAGGAGGGGAATCGCCAAAAAATTCATAAAGTGTGGAAGTTGCCAAAATAAATCATAATAAAGGTTTACATAGTTACAAGGAGAGGTTATAAACATACATGAAAGAGACTTCTGAATATCCAGAAACCACATTCAGCTCAGGAAATTCCTCAGCTAAAATTATTGAGGGCTGAGACAATTCCTGTTGGGGAATATCATCTGTGCTTGTCCCATTCTTATGCTTCCCTAAGCATCCATTTGAGTGCACTCTGTGGTTTTTGCTTGCTTTTGTTTTGGGGAACTGTGCTTTCTTATACCAGTTTTTCCACTGGCTGGAGAGGGTTGTTCAACTAACACCTCCTGCAGCTTCTTTACCTTGACCGATTACAGTCGTTCCAGAGCTTCTCTAAGGGTTTTCAGTTTCTTTGGCTTGCACTTCTGATTTGATAACCTAGGCTAGAGGGACCATTGGTCTGCACAGTCCTACACTCTCTCATGAATGATGTGGTTTACATTCATAGGGAGTTTGGAAACTGGAGCAGATCGTTTCTTCTCCTTCCAAAGTCTACTGATAATATTCAAATTTTAGATCTCATGCACTTGAGAAGACAAACCAGGAACAAACTAACAGTTCTTGATGCAAAGTGAGGATGGGGGGAAAAGTATGTGCTGCTTTTTTAAGTTTAGACACATTCACATGATACACTGAATGTTATAAAATGCTACTTCGTGTGATCTGTGTAGTGTTATGTACTGTAATGTAAGTTGTTAAGCTTACTATTTGATTGAATGAGATTTTATAGCAAGGAAAAAGAAGTAGCATTGTGCTAGCAATTTTAACACATTTTAAACATTTTTACAAGAGAAGACAGCTTTGTTGGCAGCAAGGCAGCAGTAGTCTGCTCATGGATCACAGAAAACCACATCCTTAAGCTTATTCCTGATAAAATTGTTGCAGACCCGTATCAGTTCACTGCTTCACTTCATTCTGTGCCTTGTGAACATTTATACTAACACTTTCAAGGAGCTGGAGCAAGAATCTGGACAAGCTGCCAGGGCTCCTTAGGGACAGAGGTGTGGGCGGTGTTGTTGTCTAGGAAAGGAAGTGAGAGATGATACTTTTAAGACAGGAAAATTAGGAGAAAACACCTCTGAAGAAGGTAAAATAGCAGAATTCCGTAAAAAATAACTAAAAAGTAGTTCTTGAACAAGAACAGATCTATTTATAAATAATTGATAAAGAGCATACATTAATAGTACCCTAAATTTTGAAGAGAAGACCTCAATAAATGCATCAAGTAAAGCACATTTTACAACACTTACCTGAAACATCAGGAAGAACTGAAAAGAAAAGCTTACTCGAACTGTGTTTTTTCTTTTTAACGTCACATAATATTGTAATAATGCAAAGTTGGTTTGGGGTCTGTAGCTCAGGAATATCATTATTGCCTCAGTATATTCATGTTGCAGTACAGAGTGCTGGCTTGTAGCCATTGTTGTCTTTCCTTACTTAGCAGGAAGGAACAAAAATCCCTTCTAAAAAGAAGAAAAATAAATCCATAACAACATCAGAGCTTTTGTATGAAGAGCTTCTGAAATCAGAGCAGGAAAACTGGAATGACATTTCAGCAAGTTACAAAACCATGACAAAAAGAATCAAGGAAAAATTAGAAGAATTGCACAAGTGTATGTTCAATTCAGGAAGCCCAAGGGTAAGTGGCAAAAAATACATTTCTCATCACTGAGTACAAATAAAAGGCAGTGAAGCCATTCCTGCTATAAAATGTTGGTTTACTGATTATTTTATGGTGGTACTTTTGAGTTTTGAATGTTTTAACAATTGTGGCTATTAGCAGCATATGTTTAGACAAGCTTATACCTTTTATGATAGTGTATTTAGCTTAATTTCACCGTAGGCAAAAGCAAGTCAAGATAGAATAATTACCTGACTTTTTGATTAAGAATACAAGATATATTTAAGTTACAAGAGCAATAGCAGGTGATCTGGGGCTTTTGCTAAATTTGGGGAGGGTATAGGTAGCTAAAGAAGCCTAACTTTGAAAGAACCTCTCTGATATGTGCAATTCCTTCTACAGTATCAAATATATGTGCTATATTGTTTGTGTATGTTAAAATTGTACTTTACAGAACAATGATTGAATATAGGGATTCTAAGGAAATAGTCTAACTATTCATTGGACTTGAAACATGTTTGGTTTGTATTGAACAGATCAGGTTTGGCGAGAATGTGTACTTTGAAGAGAATGGCTGCATATTTCTTTCAAAAGCAGATGATGGTAAGGGATTTGTCTTCCTAACATGGTATGATTGTTAAAAATGTTGTACATGTATCAGTGTACTTATCTTACATTAGAGCTTTATCACTCTCTTAACTAAACTGCAAATACTTTCATAAAATTCTTTAATGTTTGATTAATAGTTCTAGAATCCTGAGTCTGAAAAGGTGAGGTGAAGAGAATTAGGGAATAGTGTACATTGATACTGAGGCAAGTTTCTGAAGAAGAAAGAGAGAACTCACTTCTTTTCAGAGCCCTAACTTAACATTTTTAAAAAGAAAAAGCACATTCATGCTTTTTTATTTCTGAGGGGGTGGGGAAAATTTACTAATTGTATTTAGTAAAAACAACTATGCTTTAGGTATCTGAACATTGAAATCAATTACATTTACTAG